TTCAGGAGGTTGTGCGGTTACTCATTCAGGAAAACTGTAACAACAACGTGTGGGGGCAGTTCCCGGGGACAACACGGACCATCACATGCAGCCTCAGCCTCTGAGTGTCACCCACGTGACAAAGGAGACCCTCTACTTCTGAGCCTTTCCAAGAAGATTTACTGGGAGGGGCACCTCCTGCAGGCAAGACCAGGGTTCAAGTCCGAGCTCCTTTGTTCTGGCTTAGACCAGTCAGGTGCCATCTTTGCTTTCTCTTGTCTAAAGAGGTAAGAGAAGCACGTAGTTTGGGCCACACAAGATCGTGCGAAGAATTAAATAAGAAATGTGTCTAAGCACCAACCACCCACACCAGCGCACTGAGAACGTGCCATGTTACCTGTGATCACCGTGTATATTTTTATTATTCCAGGTATTCAAAGACTGTTAAGTAGCTATGAATCTACAATCTGACTGGTTAGTGAGCTGCTGCCTATGGGGCAAAAATCATGTATGTTCTGCCAATAGCACAAGAGAGGAGGGCAGGGTTTCTGTTTGCCAGGAACCAGGAAGGTGCCCTCACACTGCACAAGGCTGGCCAAGGATGCCTCTCACCCTCCCTCTGCGACAGGAGCGATCGGCCTGACCACGGAGCACAAGTTAATCTGCAGGCCTTCCAGCGGTGGTGACCATCCCTAGTGCCTCGGGCATCTGACCCCTTCCTCCACCCCCACATAAAACTTCTCTCCTCACCACCACTGCAGCCACAGTACGTGTTCACACGCACATGCATCCAAACACGCTGGTACTAAGGGAGCCCCAACTCAGTAAGCATGTTCTAAACATGACCTACCGCCAACTGCAAAACCATAAGGCCAAGGGAGCCTGAGAGGCGTGAGGGAGGTGAACCCATGTGGCAAGCCTGAGAGAGCCCAGCAGCGAGGCTGCTCGGCCAGGCTCAGCGGGAGGGCCCACCAGTGAGCAGAGCGTTCATTTGCTCAAACCACAAGGCCTGGAAGCATGGCGGCTCTGTTCTTTTCCTTAATTAGTTCAGCCCCAAAGGGAAAAGTATAATTCAGGGGCTGAATTAGTTCAGCCCCTGACAGGGCAGGGGCCTCACCTGTGGAGCATAAGCTCAACAGTAAATACCTCTGCAATGCTACCGGGAAGCCTGAGCTCACTTCCTTTACCTTGGCACTGAGCTGAGTATTTATTAGAAACCCTCTCCAACCATGACATTCAGGAGAACTGGTGGCCGCTGCCCAGACACCAGCTGGTGGGTTCTTTCCTTCCCCTGGCGAGTGGAACCCCAGACCAACTGCAGTACAGGACAATGTCAAAGCCAGAGGTAGGTGGGGGGCTGCTGGAGAGGCTGCTGCGCCCAACACCTGGGCCTTCCCAGTGCTGACGAGAGAGGAGGTTCGGCGCTCCGGGCCGTGCTTACTAAGGATGGTGCCGTCCCAGCACCCACATCGTATTTTTGAATTTGAAATGAAACATAAATAAAGTGCACAGAGGGCCTGACTCTTAAGCGCACAGCTAATTGAATGTTTGCATCTGTAAACAGCCATGTTAGCATCAGTAGACAGACACAAAGCCTCCCAGTATCTCACAGGGCTCCTCTCACACTGCTTCCCAATCGTCACCCCCATCCCAAACCCCCCGCGTGGCTGCCTGCTCTGTTCTACTCCCGTGTAGTATTCTGCAGTATGGACAGGTTGCGGTTTATTTCCCCTGGACTCATGTATGGCCTATTTCTTCTGGTTTGAGGCCACTATGAATAAAACCACCATGGATATTCTTGAGTGTCTTTAAAAAAAATAAGTCCCACTGTTTTCTCAAATGCACATAAGGCAGCAATTCAATAGTTTTTCGTGTATTCAAAAGCCAGGCAACCCCCACCTGTGCCTAACTCTATCACACTGAACATGCCCTGCTGCGGATGGATGTCTCCATTTCCCTGGGGCACGTACCAGGGGTGGGACTGCTCAGACACAACACAGACCTCATTTAGCTGTAGTGTTTCTAAGCCTGAAATGTCAATCCACATCCTCACTAACACTTGGCACTGCCAGTCTCTCAGGTTTTAGCCACTGAATCCACACCAGACCTAATGCCCCTTCTGTCTCAGTTCCCATTGTTTTACCACCAATCTCGTCCACACTGAAAACTGCATTTCTGTACTGAAGACTCAGCCGGTAACCTTTAGGGTCGATGCTTCTGTCACCCCCTTTATCTGAAAGCAAAATGTTCCTATGAAATCTTTGAAAGGCCAAAGTGTCATAAAGTGAACAGTGCCCCTGCTTTCTGAAAGTTCGCCACTTTGCTTTTACAAAAGACTTACATTCATATGGTCACAGCTTTTCCCCTAAAAGTAAAAATCCTCTTCTGAAGCAAAAATCACCTGACATGAAGGTGAAGAAAAATGGTGGGCATTTTATCTATCAAATGTTGACTGATCACCAACCATATCATAGGCCGAACAGAATAACGTACCCAGAAGTTTATGCAGAAAACACACAAAGCCCTAAATAGGGAATAATGGCTTAAAGTGAGGCAGGAAAGAAAAGAGGTGGAATTCTTCTTGGGGACCATTGCAACTGCGGGCCAGCTTCCCCATGCACCCCTCGCCCTCAGAAGTCACAGGACATGACGATATGTGGAAATGTACCCAAGGAGAGCCTGTTCCCCATAAAACCCGCCCACCCCAGCACCCTCTGGAAAAGCACATAAAAAATCAAATAAAGTTGTGAACATAAATTACCAGCTAACTGCAGTTACATGGCATCAGGCAATACGTTGTTGACTGTAAAAGTTTGGGGGCTGGTTTTTTTTTGCCATATATTTGACTAATTGGTGGCTCTTTTGGAGTCACACAGACAAGCACAACCTGCTTGTAGTCAACCGCCTGGCCTCATAGACACAGTCCACTAGTATAGGAACAAAGACAACATCAGAAAACTTAACCTGAAGAATGACCGGTCAGTTCAAAGGGCCGATGCAGAGACGAGAGGGGGGAAACCAGTTTGGACTACCTTTTGTAAGAGAAAAATGTTAAACAGTCAAAAATGAGCAAATTACTACTTCCACTCCAATTACACTTCAGAGGATGAAGCAGGAGAACAGTGTGGAGCCGGGGCCTGGGGCACCAGGCCACCAGGACCACGATTTCATACCAAGTAAATATCGACTAAGACTTTCAGGTCCACGTGTCGATTTTTTCCTGATTATGTGTCAAAAGCTAGCTTCCAAGTAACAAATGTCTGCTCTCAGATTCCCCTGGAACTGTCCCATTTTATTAGCATTGCCTGGGGCAGCTCATTCTCTCCCGACACAGGCACGCAGTTCTGCCCACGGTGTGCCCTCTGCTCTGGGCATGTACAAGGCCCGAAGAGCTATTTGCTGGTTAGCCTGTGTCTGGCTGCACCTTGAGGAACTTAGTTCTAGGGTCTTTATAAGGAAAAGTGGCCTCAAACAGTAAAGAAAAAGAGCATTGTTGAGGGCAGTGGGAGGTCCTTCACAAGATACATGCAGAATCCCACCCTTCTCAATAAAAAACTTTTTTAATCTTCATCCGAGGACATTTTGTCATTGGTTTTAGAGAGAGAGTAACATAGAGGCAAGAGAGAAGCATCAATTGGTTGCCTTTGATACACATGCACCAGGACCAGGCATCAAACCCGCAGCCCAGGTATATGCCCTGACCAGGAGCTGAACCCCAACTTTTGGTTAAGAGACAACACTCCAAGCAACTGAGCCATGCCAGCCAGGGCCCACCTTTCTCAATTTCTGATATGGGGGCACAAGCCTGCAAAGGTGTATAAAATAAAATCAGCATATTTAAACACTCACTCGACACTCCCTCATTCAATACTATCCTCCAGTGAACTGAGTACACATCAATTCATCCCCCAAAGGAGACCTTCTAGAACTCTCCCAATTAATTAAACTTTATGTTGCAAAGACTACTTTAATTTTAGGTACTTTAAATTATCTTGGATAATAACAGCACCCATAAAAAACCTTGCAGTCAGGAAATTTACAGAAATTCCAAGTATTTCCTCAAAAAGTAAACTAAAGCAAATTCGTTCAGGTCAGAAGTTGTGAAACCCAGAATTGTTATCATATTTCTTGTAGCACAGAACATTGTGATGATCAATGGCACTAAGAATAGCCCAGAAAAAAAAAAGAGAAGAGTTCATAATCAGAAACAAGAAAAACAACCTATCCAAAATAGCAAGATGTCCATTAACATCACTCACTTCCCCATGAATTATTTTGACAATAGGAAATGGAATTTAAAATTTTTTTCCTTTAATCCAAAACTATTTCCCTTCCCATGTGCCCTCTGGGAAAATCCTGTTCACAAACGAACCATTCCCAGATAACTGACTTCCGTGCCGTTTCCATACGGCTGGGCAGCAGCAGCAGCAGCAAGGCTCCCTGACTCGCCACTTCGCGTTCTGTAGCTCCCGCGGTGACGTCACGGAAAGACGGCCGCACGCTGTTGCTGCTGCCCAGCTCGCGACTGCAATGGAAATCGTGCTGCTGCCCCGAGTTTTTAATTTTCCATGAAAAATCATTCTCCTTGCCACAGCCGCTTAGACTGTGAAAAAGAAAAATGATTTAATTAGGAAACAGCCATAATTAGATTTTTTAAGCATACGCTTTCGACATAAAAGTTACATTACAGCATGGCTTCACTGGGTTTAATAATTCATTTTCCTCAGGCCATTCCAGGACACGTTAAGGTGCTGAGTGACAACTGAAGGAAGAAAATAAAGGGCACACTAAACTGCTACACAGAGAGTTCTATCTTCAAATGAGTTTTTAAATGGAACAGGAGGAAGGGGTGAGGAGTCTTAAGCAGCTGAGAAGAAATATGAACAGTGAACTGAAGAGGAGTAGCCTCCTGGTTTGTGATTAACTTTTACTGTCCAGAGAAAGAGTTTCTCCACACCCGACAAATGGTGACGATGATGATGAGTGATGCTGATGAAGGTAATAAAGGAAAGGAAGTCACAGTGCTCACCTCAGCAGCACAAACACTAAGACTAGAATGATACTGAGAAGATCAGCACGGCCGCCAGGAAGGATGAGCCCCAAATCTGTGAAGCGTTCCACATGTTTTCGTAACCATGGAGTGCACAGGTAGCAAACACAAGGCCTCCACCTCGTTTCTACCTGGCGGCAGCGCCGAGCTCCTCGCCCCTAGTTAAGGAGCAGTTACATTTGTACAGTCCTGAAATCACATTCGGCCCTCTGAAGGCAACAGGGAGGCTGCTGTGGCCCTCGGTGAAAATGACTTTGACACCTCCGACGAAAGGTGATGGATGTTAACTAAACTTATTGTGGTGATCATTTCCCAATGACCACAAATATCAAATCATCATGTTATGCACTTTAAACTCATATGATGTTCTATATCAATTACATCTCAATAAAGTGAGAAAAAATAATAGTCGTAAGAGTAGGAAGTAGCAGGGGGAAGAGAACTAACACTGTTTAGCATAGACATGGCCTGGTGAGAGCGAGACGTGATGGGCATTGTAACGACACCTCCAGGATTTTTCAATAGTCTCTTTTGTGTGGGTGAGGAGGAGGGTAAGGGGATGAGGGCCACACGATCATGTGCCAGGGATCGAACCTACTAGAAGTCTAATTCCAGAACCTGATATATCTGTTTACTTGTTGTCTCCTCAGAAGTTACAGGCATGATGCAGTGTTATATGCTTTAGAACTCCCCTATAAGTATATCTAAAAACATCAGTGGAAAGTAAGAAATTACATTATTTGGAAATCAGGAAATCTGTGATTCCACATTAAGAAGAAACTAAGCTGCTGCTTCTTTTTCTTTCTGTTGTTTAATTATACCAGGACTTTCACCAATGGTCTTGGAGACATTTTAAAATTCCAAATATTAAACCCTAACCATATCTACTGGCAATGCTTTTATAAGTTCATCCTATACATAAACAGGTTTAGTTTTATCCTGTAAACTGACATAGCCAAGAATCCTTTTTAGTTCAATATTTTGGCAAAAGTTCCAGAGAAATGTCAACATGTTCTGAAAAGAAGGAAGACGTTAGGCCATGTTCCAAACAGCCTGAGAGGTGAGTCGTCAAAACACAGAAAAACTCCTATCCAGCTAGTTCTTCACAAGGATAAATCAAACGGATGTTGAAACCTACCAGCAGAATCTCCTCAACTTTTTTAAGAGACACTCCTATGTGGGAAACATAGTGCAGTACAGCAGACATGTTACTACACAAGGAGGTGTTGTTATGGAGACAGCTTTGAAGGCTCCCTGCAATCCCAGTGGGTAATTAAGGCCAGAGATGGCAGAACAGCCAGCAGGGTAGTCTCCATGGAAACCATCAAACATACTTTTTCACAGGCACAGCAACTGTTCTGAATCAATGACTCTTTATATAGGTTTAAAAACATTGTGAATGGTGCATCAATTGCCTCTTGTTAGACAATGTCTGGTTAAAAGAGCTGTGAGAGACCCTGTTCTCTTGCATGCTGGACGCCGAGCACTGTCTAAAGTGGGCAGTCCACCACTAAATCTGCCACCTAGAACCAGTAAATACAAATGGTAAATTCAGACTCAGGAAATCACTGGTTAATTTGGTGAAAAAATTAGACTAGTGGTTGACACCACCAAGCAGGGCCTACCGACTGCCAGCACTCACTATTCAAAAGCTGTCTAAATATTATTCAACATTCTCAGTAAGATAGACATGATTATTGTATGCGTTTACAAATGAGAAAATTAAGTATAAACTACAAAGTGGCTGATCGGGATTCAAAGTTACATCAAAATTATATGAGCACAGGATGCTCAGTGGCCGTGCTGCACTTGCTCACTCCCCAGCTGCTTCACGTACATTATCTCAGATGTGCTGTTTCTACCTGGGAACACTGAGGACTCCAAGTTCTAAAATATTCGGATTTTGTAATACTTTACATCTTGCTCCCGCCCTCCTCACTCCACTTCTGCACCCACCATACTCTCAGGATTTGAAGACTCCCAAGGGACCACGTCTCAGAAGGCTTCACCATCTCCCACCTGGACTGTGAGAGCAGCAGACTCTCCAAGGCATCACTCCATAAGCGTGAATTTTGACTGCGAATGTTCTGATTGGGTAATAGGGATGGAAGGAGGTCTGATTGCTGAATGGTTTCCTACTTTATTCTGTAGTTCTATTAAACACTTAAATCTGGCAAATGCTTTGATAAGGAGGCACTGATGATTCAAGATATGGCTCCTACAGATCATCATTATATAAAATCCTGCAATTGACTGTACATGCCATCGGCATTTAGTATTAAACATCAGACACAGCCGTGGCTCACTTGGTTGGGCACATGCCTGGTTTGCAGTTCCACCCCCCGGAGCGTGTGCAGCAGGCAACTGATGGATGTTTCCCCCCACACTGATGTTTCTCGTCCTCTCTTTGTCCCTCCTGTACACTCTCTCTAAAATAAAAAATAAAATAGTTTTTAAAGTCAGATACAGATGACACTGTTGTGCTCATTAGAATCGTAACATTTCTGAGCTATCTTTAGATACTTTCTAACCCAGACTCCTTGCTTTATGGATGAAACAACAGAGGACTCAGTGGCTTTGGTGCATCAAAGACAAAGCGTGAGTGCTCTCTCCGTCCCCTTGCCCCGAAATCCCAGGCCCCTCCCATGTGCCTCATGGCATGAAGATGCCTCCCTCCTATCTATCACTGCCCTTCTTCTCAGGAAAAAGGCTTTCCGTTTTCTCTAACGCTAGCTACACACACCCCTTCCACCTCCTATTGAAACGTGTTCTCCCAATTTCCCTCATTCTCTAACATCTTTAAATCTCTCTGCTGACGAGGGTCTTCTTTCCTAATCTCAAGCATGCCAAGTCCTTCTCTTCCTAGAAAAGACGCACCTTCTCTAGATCCAGCTCTCTCGCTGCTCACCGCCAGTCACAATCTTCTAGCCACTTCTTACATATTTATGATCCATCCTCTGCCCCACTCACACCCTGACTCTTTTACTAAAAGTAGCTCCTCAAAGACCAGCAACGTCCTTGCTCTAGTCGTTTCTCAGTCTGGATCTCTCTAACCTCATATTGTTGCCGAACAGAGGTCCGAGGGAGGGGGGCAATATTTGGCCCACCTAGGGATGCCAAAAACTGCTATAGAACAACAGGGGCCCCTCCCAAGGACGGAATACTAATATCTACTGGGCTCTTCTGTCCGCCGCCAATTGGAAAGACATCTCTCAATGCCAGAGATTTGTGAAAAGGAAACAAAATGTTTATTTAATGCTATTTGGGCCTAATGCCATCACTAAAATATCAAAGTCCTTTAGGGTATACACCTACACCCACACAGCGCTCCCTTCTCCCACTGTCCCAACTCCGGGTACCATAAATCAGGAAAAGAGCACATGTCCATTTTTCCAGGCCGCTGGTATCGTCAGCTGTGTCACTGTGCAGGATCTCTAGTTAATCCAAAGTCATGTGGCACCTTCTTATGATCTACTGGCAAGAGTTCTTTGTACCCAGTTCCAGTCAAAGTCTTTCCTGCTTCCCAGGCCACATGGCCAAAGGGAGCACCCCACGGCCGTGTGGGCCTCTTCTACCAAAGCTACAGGGGTCAGCACTCCGACCAAAAGTGTGTGGTTTTTTCCTTCACCTGGCTACAGAGGTCCCCATTCTGGCAAAGCCGAGTGGTTTTCCTTTCATCTGGCTGCAGGGGTCTGCACTCTTCCAAAACAGCATGGCTCTCCTCTCCACCTTGCCAAGAGGGGGCCCTTACTTTGCTGAAACTGCGTGGCTCCCCCTCACTGGCTGCTTGTCTGGGTTTAAATCCCAGTGCGAATCTTCCTCTGTACCCCTATTTCTGACTCCTCCCACGATCAGTTACACCCGCCAGTATTTCTGTATTATTCCAAGTCTACTGGGCTGCCATCGTTAGCCTGGGCAGGTATGGCCCCATGTTCTAGAGCCAATCTTCTCTAAGCTCCCACGCAGGCGCTGTAACTCGGGGGACCTGCCCCCCAGTTACATCTTGGGGGGAAGTGACTTCATCCCCCTGGCTCCAAGCCTGGCCACAGCCATTTAACATATCCAAGTGACCCGCCAAAGGCTATAGATATGTTAAAGGACCATGCCATGGATTAGCTGCAAGGCTGTGGCTGTACAAAACAGCCCTGCATGTTCCTGCTCCATGTGTCCCTTCCCCCAACTCACACCTGTGGGGGAAGGGGTGAGGACATCTTATATGTCTCTCCAATATTCCTATACACTTTGAGTTCTGGACACCATTCCAAATCTTTTTGGGGGGGGGGGGGGCCTTGGCTGCACCCTGTATAAACAGTGGCATTTTGCTTTTCTCCTTAAAATTCTCCCTTAGACTCCACACTGAACTTACCTGGTCCCCCCGTCTACCTCTTGGCTATTATTTCTCTTTCTTGTTCTTTATTGGTCACCAGCGAAGTCCCAGGCCCCCCTGCTCTGCTCTCCTGAAATCCTTTCACTCTCTCAGTGAGCTCATCTATCCATTCCTTTTCTGGCTTCAATCTTTCTCTCTACAAGTGAACAGCACGCGAAGTCCTGAGCTCTCACGTGCATTTTACCCCGCGTTTCCAACACAACGCAGCTCCACATGGATGTTTTTCACCATGTACACTTGTCAGAAATGGGTTGCACCAGCTTTCCTCCCCAAAGACGTTCTTTCACAATCACCCCCACTTCTGTCTGCAACACCACGGATTTCCCAGGGCTCTGGCTGCAAACCCTGGAGCCGTGTGTGATCCCTACCCATCACTCCCTGTATGTGAACTATCGTTATCCATTCCCTGCTCTAAAGTGTCCTGGAATGATGAGTCTGTTGTCTAGTTCTTTTATTACATCAACTATAGGGTGAATTCTGTAATTAAAACGTGTTTTCCTTCAAATTGTCAGTGAAAGTTGACCTTTTATCTTCATCCTTGCCATCACTACCTTGGTTCACCTCCCTCCCAGATGCTTGGAACTCATTTCCACCTGTTTTAAGCAGCATCACATAACCTGCCTGAAGCATTACCTTTAGCCAGTCTCCTTCAGAGGTGCACAGTGGTCTCTGCGGCATGGCTCTCAGGGC